CTAAAAATTCCTTAAAACTCAAAGACTGGGTGTACTTTATCAACACCAGGCTTTGTTCTGTGTTCCCAAGCAAAAATCCACACGCTAAACTGTTTCTAAACCAACAGGTCCCAAACCCTGGCTTAAGATGCCAGGAGACATGATCGTTATCTATCTAGCCTGTATCATTCTTGCTTTTCTTTGGGGATTGCACCAAGTGAGATATTCAGTAATTACAAAGAAAATGTTAGGAGCAAACCAAAACAAAGGCATATAAGCCTTCTTCCTCAGTGACAAACATGTGGGGGAAAGACTTGAGTAGTAGTATGTGGGGGGAGGAAAAACCACAGCTGGTTACTTCCTCTTTCACAGTTCCTGTCAGAGACACAAGCCAAATCTTTCCAGATGAGTAAAAGAGGCCCCTAATCCTCTAAATTTATCGTTCGCACTCTTACAACTCTGGAGCTGTCCCTGCAGATGAATGCAGCTCCCATTTTGCTCCCTCTTGGGAACATCTTTTTAAACAAAATGTTTTTCATCTTTTTGCTACACACTGAGCATCAGTTCTTTAAAATGCAGAAAAAGGACAGATTTCAAATAACAGATCTCCCTCATCTTCACAGTCATAAGAATTCTGAAATTAACCTTTTAAGGCTTCTAAATTAGTCTTGTTTGTTTTACTTATTCTACTTCCATCTCTTTATTTGCTGAAAGACCAGCTTTCTTCTTGTACGGTTTGCTACATGCTCTTCAAGAAGAGCAGGAGGGAGAAAAAAAAAAAATCACAATATGGACTCAATGATCTCATGCTACTAGGCATATCCCTAGTATGGCAAATGAACACGCCTGGTAGAAATACAGATTTTTAAGCAGGCAGGACTTGTTTTGTCGCAAAGAAATTTTTTGCTAGATCATCTTGTTTCTGTGCATCACACTCATTCCTCATCTATCCAGTTGCTGTAAATGAGTGACCAACAGAAAATATTGAAGGAAGGCATTGAGATTTCTCTCAAGTTAATAGCAGCTGCCATTAAGCTGCCACATAAGAGTGCAACCTATGAAACCCAGTTCTGGAATTACTGCTCCTTCAGTAAACACTGATTAAAACACCTTGATAATAGGTTCTCCATCTGCAAAGCCCAGACAGGTTAGAGCTCTACACCCTGCATCATTCCTTATATTCGGTTCTCCACATTCAGAAAGTTAGGGACAAACCTCAATCACCTTTAAATTTACATTTCAAAAGTCCAACACAATGTGTGTCATCTAGTTTTTATGATCAGATATAAGATAGGCCTGGAATGAGAATTACAGTTACTTTGGACCAGATTCCAGACAGCCAGACTTTAAAACCTTAATCATAAACTGTGTTCTAGTAACACAGAAATTTAGCAACTGCCTAAGCCTAAGAGGTGCCAAAGTCCATTATACACTTCTCTGTTTTTATTATTTAAATCTGAATTTTCCCTAGCTGTTTGCAGATCTACTTCTCATCACAGTCAACACAGACCCAACACCCAACCAGCGAGACACAGCTCACAGGCATGGCTGACCTCATCATGGTTCAGCTCACAACACTGCAGCTCATTCAAGCACATGTGATCCAGGCTCCCCGGGTTTTAGAGCATGGCTCACAGAGAGTCACATGGATTCTCCAAAAATGCTTAGGAGTAGGTCTGAGAGCCTAACTGTCCCTCTCCTGCCTGGGGCATGCTGCTCTATATCAGATGTCAAGAAGAGCCTTGAGTTCTGCAGTTCCAGCTGCTCAAACAGTTTTAACAAAAGGCAGGGAGAAACACTCTGCTTGGAGATGTCACTGATAAGCAAAACATGAGTTTCAGGCCAAGGAAAGTAAACTCCATTCCCCAGGTGTTGCTAAGTGATGTTATAATCACTTATTTCTGCAGAAGTGTTGGAAATGCAAAACAGAACACAGATCCTTGTTTAAAGAACAGCTGAAAGAACCTTCTTTTCACAGAAGGCTCTGGGGCTTGGGATTCCAAACACACAGGGGTGTTTTAAGCCACACTCCTGGCTTAAGTTTCCAAGAGAGCTCAGAGTGCAGACAGCAGTGTATGCTGCTTCCCATTAGCTAGTTCAATTTTATCTTCAAGGTCCTAAAAAATGACCCACCAAGCCTCTCTGGCAGAAACACAAACAGCCCACTACAGTTAGCATTTACAGTAGTAGTTCACCAAGGGTTCAGGCAAGGCATAAGCAATGTACAACTCTCAACACATCTTCAACAAAACAACCAACTGCATGACTGGATCAACAGATAAATAGAATCTGTTCTTTAAAGTTAAAAGGGTGCTAAGCTAACCCAGCTGTTACCCCATACAAATACAGGTCCTCACCATTACTACAGAACAACCCAAATCAAAAAGAATACTATCTTGCAACTGATTTAATTATTGAAGTGGTGTGCTAAACCAGCACAGGGATGAGCTTTGCTTGTCAATCAGTAGAAGTGGGCTACATGAACTAGGAAAGAAGGGAGGTAAGGATCACAAGCATTAATAGGACAGCAGCATCATGTGGATGCATTATGAAATATGAGGCATTTAATATATGTATTTTATCTTGTCTATGTATGGCATATTAAAACAGTTAATCAAGAACCAGATCAAATGTATTACTTGGAGGGGGGGGTATGTAATAATTCAACCTTGAAGAAATGTTACAGTAAAGATTGTTGTTCCGAACAATGCTGCTTCCTATAAAACTCTGGTGTATTATGAAATCTCGGCAGCATAGTGTTGCCTACTTCAGGAAGTTGTTCTGTATTTCTCCCACAAGTTAAAGGGCCAGCTTCTAGATGGAAGAGCCAGCTTCCTTTCAACTAATCTGTATCTCATTTATATTTCTGCAGTAGTATTCACAGTTTGCTTGCATGTTAGCAGAAAGGTGAGTTAGTTTTGAGGGACCTCCTGAAATTCTTCAGTAATCCAAAACAAAACTCTCTGACTTCATTAATCTCGCTCTGAAAACCAGAATATCTACACAACTCCAGGTTAACCAAGACAATTTCAAATGTACTGACACACCTCACAAACACTCAGCATTTCTGGTCAGAAGTGCAAAATCAAGTCAAATGGATTGAAGGTCAAGATTGCTGTTTCTCTCCCCAAGCAAGATCACAAATCGCAGTTTAAGAGACACCCACTCAGCAGCTGACCACCTCTGTAACTCCCCAAGCTTGCATGTTTTTTCCCCATTTGACCTGGAGGTTCCTGCAGCTCACATCTTCCAACAGAAAGCTGGACAGGTAGTACACGTGGGAACAAAAAAGCTAGAAAAGGGTACATAAGCCCTTGGAGAGGTCAGTCCAGGAAACATGTTCATCATGTCCATAGGATCCAGATTCTCGTAAAATCTACCAGAGGAGAATGGACTGCCAGAGTAACTGAGTAGTTACAGTTCAGTCAGATCTACAGAAGAGCAAGGGATAGAATCCAGCTGTATACCTACCAGTCCTAGAAAAGTGCTTGGCTGGAGTTTTTAAAGGCAAACCTTATGCTTCTGAAGTCACGCACCAGTGGGGTTAAGAGAGATTTGGACTTGGGTCTTAGAAGGGCAGAAGCACCTGTCTATTGCTCAGACATCAGCCACCCAAATTTCAAAAAGGAAAGGAGAGCAGGTAAGCCTTGTGGCATGTCATCTTCTATTTAAGCCTGAGCAGCCTACTTTTAGTACGCCTTGTTAGTCGCAAGGGGAAGGGAGACACAGCAGAAGCAAGAGGCGAGATGGAAAAGGCAGGATGAGACTAAGGACTCGCTGAGACCAGCACAAGATGGTTAATAATGTTCAGTAGCTGTCTTCACAATGCTCCAGTTTTAGCTGTTGATTTTCACTTTACGTTTTCACCTCACAACCAAGATTTCTTTTTTACATCTTGGAAGCTCAGTGTCTGTCACAGGTTGGCAGGCATCTCTGGAAGACCAAGTTAGAAGCCATAAGACTGAGTGAATTCACTGAGCAGAATTTAGGAAATAAAGCATAAAGGCTTTTACAGACCCAGTTTGTTAATTTTAGGTTGAGGAAATACAACCCCGATGTACAGAAACATTTCACTAGAGGAAAATTGAAATTTTTATTCCTGTCTGTTGAGATTTAAAGAAAGTATTTCTGGAAGAAAATACAAAGTGTAGCTGAAAAACTGGCAAAAGCCCAATCTGTGCCACTAATCTGTGCTACAAGGACCAACTTCTAAAACTTGTCTTGCAAAACAAAAATCAAAGTTTTAATAAAAACTGATATACTTAAAACTTCAAATGATCAGTTAATAAAATAATACCCATTTCTGTATGGACACAATTAAAAACATACATGCTAAAACCTAGCCACATGTTGTTCATGGCTAGCTCCCTTCTGATGAACAGGATACTTTGCATAATTTGTGAGATCAAGTTGTATTTGCTTTATACATATACACACACACACAAGCATTAAAAACATAATGGAAAATGGAGGGAAAGGAAAAAGGACCAAAATCCACCAGCAGCCTAATCTACCTCTAACTTGAACATTCCAGTTAGGTGGCAAAAAAAATTAAATTGCATGAATCTAAGAAAAAGCATATTAATAAACTTGTATAATCTTATTTACATATCTAATATGTACTTCCAAGGACAAGCTGCAAGGCCACAGCTTTTGTCCCTGCTAAGCAATTCAAGCTCCAGCAAATATTTGATGCAATCCTTGCTCAGCAAACATCTCAGCCTACCATAGTATGGTGTCATGTAACTGGCCAGGACAAAACTGGCTTATTATCAGCAGCCACCTTACTAATTATTTATTCATTTGGTGAATACAGAGAGATACTATACTTCCCCAGGATAGATCACACTTGACCATACATATAAAGGACTGGATTTGCTGTGTGAAGTGTCACAAACCTGTCAAATGAACAGGTGAAGCCAAAGAGTGAATTCCCACAAATGAATCTGAGAAACTAACCTCAAAAGGGGGGGACCGCCACTATTAAAGTTTGATATAAAATATGCATAAATGCAACTTACAGCACTGTGTGATCTTCTGGATGTTAGAAGTTATGCGTTGCGCTAGTTGGTTAGGATCCCCAAAGCCTGCACCGTAAGACATGGCTGAGTAGATTTGTTGTCAAGGTCATCCACGATGGGAACAAGTCAGACCGTCTCCACCTATTAAGGAAGCATAGACCCCCCGCCCCCCAAGAAAACAGTTATATTTTGGTCAATGGCTTGCAATGGTCTTCATCATCTTAAAGAAGAATACACAGGAAAAGGTTACAGAAAACTTGGTATGCTAATGTTTACCCTCTCCAAAAACACAGTACTTCTAAGACAGAATTTAAGGGAATGCTTTCTTAAAAACAAATTATTAAATAAGAATATGACATCCTTTTGTATTTTCTACAATAATGCTTGCTATTAAGATTTAGTAATACACATGGCTTAAGATCTGCAATTACTCTACAGCAGCTACATCACAGAAACTACATGCTTTGTCAAACTTCTTAAATATTTTCCCCACTGTAAGCAATGAAAAAGTATACATTTTAATTTGTCACCATTTCAGAAAAGAGCTGTACATTTAATCCATCAACACCAAATCCTTTGATGAATTATGTCCCAAACCAATTATAGGGTATCACCCATCCCACCAATACAACTTAGTGTATATAAACCACTGGAGAAAAAAAAAAAACCAAACAAACAAAAAACAAAACCCACACAACCAAAAAAACAAACAACTGGAAAAAAAAAAAAAAAAAAACCACCACACAAACAAACCAGCAGATATCACACAAGGTACCAGAATGAAGGAGGAACCCAATTCATCCTAAACACCAATAATTTGAATCAACTTCAGTTTTAGTTGTAATCCAGTTTCATCTGAACTCTAGGAATTGCCACTTTATCCTGTTTTAACTGCTGCGTTTCTCAATATGAACTAATTTTTCAATAATTTGGGTATACAAATGTGATTTTAGGGGTGTTTTTTGCATCCAGAACTATCGTATCTTGACTGAAAAGGTCAAAATCTGACAACACAAACACTCACAAATACACTTGTCCTAAAAGCACACGTAAAATCATGCAGCATGTAACTAACAGAGATGTCCAACCCCTCTTTCCATCCATATAGACCAAATTTCAGCGCAAGCTCAAAGATATCCTAAATCTAAATTAACAACATATAGCTTAGGATACACATGCAAACCAAAACTGACCATTTATCTGCAGTGAGAATGCAGACCAATCAAGCATACATGCATCCAACACAATCCCACAACTTCATCCAGGCTGTGCTTAGTTTTAACTTCATCCTTTCCAGCCAGTTCCCCACACTTCCACTGTTCAACCCAAGTCACGTGCCTTCCAAGATATGTCCTCTTCTCCTAGCCTGTCAGCTTCTGGTTAACTGACACTGCTAAAACTAAATTTCAGGGAGAGGGAGAAAGCATATTTAAGTGTTGAAACAGAAAAGAAGGAACTGGAAAGCCCAGCTGATTTGTCAAGTGTGATATCAGCTGTGCTACATTTTGCAAACTCCAGTCCTTATGTACTCTTTTTAAGGAAAAATAAAATAAAAAAGTAACAATCCTCATTGCCAAATATTATTTTCTTTCACCTTTGGAAATGTCTGTATTAATACAGCACAGCAACACTCTGGGTGTTTTATAACATGACTGCTTTCATATCTCCACGATACGAGATGATCTCTGGTAGAGCTGCCGAGACAGTGCACTGGTCAGACACGAAACGTCCCCCCAGAACTTCACCAGGGCTCTAAGTGCAGAGGTCAGGCCCACTTCTGCTGCCCTGCAGGTTACATTACCTACGCTGGATGAACAAGCTGCTGCTACCGCAGAGACAAACGCTGCATGATTTTGAAATGGCTGCTGCACCAGGATCCCAAAACCCTGCTTCGAGTCTTCAGGCCGTGAAATATCCCCTAGGAATGAACAACCTGATCGCCGGTGAGGCAACAGGGAGTACACTTGCACTCTTCTGTGTACTTGCTGCACAATCACCCCCTAGTCATGTTAGCTCTCTGCAGTATTGTTTCCTGTCTTTGTCTGCACCACACGCAGATTCAAGTTATTTTGGGTCACAGACTAAAGTCTGAAGTCAGTCAGTCAGCTAGCCTAAATCCCACTTATCTGCTCCAAGGTTGGCATAACAATGCTTGAACTTCTCGGAAATTCTAGACAATATTGCATTGAATTTGTATTGTAACACCAAATCCATGCAAACTTTATAGTGAATAAATGGCTCTATGCCTTGGTGTATTGACTAAGTAAAGGAATTCTAACAGTTTAGTGGAAAATACAATTGTAGGCATAAAATCCGAAGAAACCACCTAAAAGAAGTTAGCTTGAAAAAGGAGATTTCTCAGAACTGTTGACATCATTTGTTTCTTTTAAAATTTATGACTTTCTAGACACATTAGTGCCATGCTAACTACAATGTTAGCACTGGCTAAAAGTACTTTTTAGTTAAACATTAAAATGTAGCTGCTTGGGAGAAGAGACAGCAAAAGACCAAATTACTTTGTGTAGAATGGTTACAAAATTAACTGAGATAGTTTTTCACCATAGATTATTCTCCCTTCATATCTGTATTCACTAGACAACTGTCTGTAACACTGTTGTCAGCACCAGCGTTACAATCGAGAGACACACACAGAATGTTTCATCCAAATCTTGACAAAAGCAGGGATTGACTTTTTTTTTTTTTTTATTTTGCCTTGAATTTTCCTACAGCTAACCATATCTTTAAACAAGTTACACTGCACTATACTGACAAATGTACAGACTGTACAATACATAAGGCTTCGAGCTTTTCAACTTTATAGCTACATAGTTGGGCAGCCAAGCACAACACATAATGAGAGGATGTTCAGATGATAGATTGCAAAGTCCACAGGGTATAGTTTAGCTCTTTGTCTGCACATGTAGATCTGATTGTTGATACAGTTCTTTGTATCAACACACATATTTCAATAGAGATTTATAGTAAATTTGTACGATATCAGTGCAAATTCACAGCTGTTTCACTCCATACAAATTCTTTCACCAACAATGCTATTCCTGAGAATGTTAAGAATACAGGTTGGTGACAGGGTAAGCTACGGGTCTGGGGAACAGACAGAAGGAGAGCTACAGGGTCAACAGCAGCTCTCATCACTTCAGAATCTTCAGCACAAACTCCCCAAGTAAAGAAAAACCAAAACAGAACAGTCCAAATAGAAGGAAAATTATGTTTGTTTATTATTATTTTTCAAATGGGAAATGTGAACTTCTTCCTCATTCTAGTTCTCAGAGGAACATGGGTGTCTGAACTGAATGAACACCTTGCTTCTACTCACACACCCTTCGCTTGTTAGCACTGAGCTACTCAAACACCTCTGTAAACACAGATAGCTGAGCCAATGGGAAGAGGATGGGAGTTTTGCTAGTGGCTTTCACAAGGTCTGGGTTTCAACCACCAGGAAACAAAACAGACACGTGCACCAAGCACTTCCTTCCATACCAAGGTGAGGGGAGCGTTCATCAAGACTCTGAACTTCCACAGAAATTACCCCTTTTCACTTCTACAGCATCTACCTACTCTGTTGTGACATATTTTGGTATTGCTGCCTGCATAACTTCTAAAATGGTAGTTAATAACCTGCTGCAGTTGAAGGAAGTACACTTTGCATTCAAACTGGAACAAAGCTGCATCTGTGGTAGTCTTCAGTTCCTCTAAAAGTTTCAGTCAAGGGGTGAGCTTTTGATTGTACCTTTATCTTCTCTTTAACATCTCTGTCTTTGAATGGGAATATACCTAGTGGCAACTCAGCTTGCCAAGCTATTGAAGAAAGCCCGAAGAATGGAGTCTACTGGCACAAATAAAATAATCAGAAGTCTTTGTCAATACTCACTGAAGCAAGACCTCTCCGTACATACATGACTTTTAAAGAAATCAAAGGATTGCTATGTATTTTTCCCAATTTCTGCATTAGCTGGTTCTTGCATCACACTGTCACTCCATACCCAAGCAGAAAATGACACCTTAGTATCAACTTGTTTTCTAGAAAGGTGGGGCATGGAAAAAACCCACTTTTCCCTTGGCTATTTCCAGTCAGATCACTGCCAAATGCAGAGACAAGAAAGTGGGAACTCCACAACTGAGCAGCTCCAGAGTGCCATTCTTAAAAGCTCCATCAGGACAAAATGATGCGGCGTGACAAGCACAGCACATGTTAGATCTCATCAGCAGTCACCCAAATTTCTTGCAGGCTCCAGTCAGCTACAGCTAATAAGCACCTAATCTATTTTGTATTTTCTCATTTAGATATTCTACAAGTTTTCTTTCTTTTGCAAACATAGCATATATACATTAGGATAAAGACCCTTAGGCAATAATTTTACTGTTTAAGCAACATTTTTAATATCAGAACCTAGAAATGTTTTCACAGCTCCTTAACTTTCAGAAAGCAAAAAGTACATGCTGTATTCCAGCTGAATTCCAGGGAGGGCTGAAAATGAACCCAGGATGACTGTTGCAAAGTTCCAAGTTTCTTGTGCTGCAGGTAGACAAACAACATCTCATGGGAAAACAAAGATAGACCAGAACCACCAGACATCTAGCACGCTACACATTTTCACTCAAATGTCTCTACCAGCAGCTTGTTCACTCTGAACCAAGTGTTCAGATCAAATACACTGAGGGAGAAGTTACCTTTGCACAGAATCTGATGGCGCTGGATGCTGGGTCTCACTGAGGCCTACCAGGATGCTAACAACTATATATAGCTCATGGTCTCTTTTTTTTTTTTCTCCCCCCACCAAAATGGTTTCACTTCAACATGAATCACCAAGAGGAGTGCTACTTAATATTCTGATATAAGACTACATGGGATGTCTTCATGAAAGAGAACATAAGTACAGTTTATAACAATGTCACCACTTAGCATCACTTCCTTCTGATTTTAAGATATTTTAACATTTTTTTCCCCCCTCGTCTTCTCTTCCTTTTCTATTAAGGGCACTTGCACAAAACCCCAGGCTCCAAGCAGGAGGGCTGCCCTGCCGGCAAAGCACACGTCTGGGTGATGACTGACCACGAGGGCTCCGCTCGCCCCACCGGCACAGCTCCCTGACTCTGCACGGCTCGGTCAGCAGCAGCGGGGGTCACAGCGCCGGAGCACACCGCCTCGGGAAATAAGCATCCTGGGATTTTTATCACCGAGCTTCGATTACGATGCAGCGCCTTGCATGTCACGCAAAGCAGAGTGGAACCTTCCGCTTCCTTCTAGAGTTCCAAGAAGTGCCTGCTCCTGGTGCCACGGCGAATGGGTCATCAGGGAAGGGGTGACAACGCCGGGCCAGGGGCCTGAGGCGCCGGGCTCGCTATTTATGTAGCAGATTCTTATAACCTCCCCTCCTCCTGCTGACATGTTTTGCTCACCTCGGGTCTGGAAGAGCACGGAGCGCGTTTCGGTGCGGCGAAGGTGTCCACGCCACCCCACTCCTCGGCACGAGCTGCTGTGACACACCAGCCGCAGGCCCCGCGTCCCTCCTTCGAGCACCGCGGTCAGCGCGAAGCCCAAGGCTGCGACACCAGGGCGCTGTCACGGGGAGCGGCGTGGGGGTGGGAGGGACCCAACCGGCAGCACCACAAAACCGCACCCTCCTCCCCCCGCGACCGCGGCCCTGCCCGCCCCACGGCCCACTCACCTCCCTTCTGCCACAGCCGCCCCAGGCCAGGCGGCAGCGCTGGGCCGCGGTGGGGCGGTCCCGGTCCCGGTCCCGGTGAGGGCCCGCGGGGCGCTGCGGCCCTTCCCGCCGCGCCCGGCAGCTCCTTTCCGGCTGGCCGGACACCGCCCTGACCACCCCTTCCTCCGGACGGACAAACACCCGGTGCCCCAGCTGGGCTCCCGCCGCTCTTACCCGGCCCCGGCGAACCTGATCCCACCGGGCGCGGCGGCGGCGGCAGGGCGGGGAGGGGAGGGGCGGGCAGGCCCCGGCCCGTTCCCGCCCCGGCCCGCCGTGACGGCGGAGGCGTGGGGAGGCGGGGCCGCGCCCATGCCCCGCCCACCAGGCCGCGCGGGGGGCGGGGCCTGGGCGGGGCAACGGGGCAGCCCGCGGGGGGAACGGGACAGCCCGCGGGGGGAACGGGGCAGCCCCCCGGGGGAACGGGGCAGCCCCCCGGGGGGAACGGGGCAGCCCCCCGGGGGGAACGGGGCAGCCCCCCGGGGGGAACGGGGCAGCCCCCCGGGGGGAACGGGGCAGCCCCCCGGGGGCTCCCGCTGGGAACGGGGCAGCCCGGCCGCTCCGACAGCCACAACCTTGTCCGAGTGGAAAAAACGGGGGCGGGGAGAGGGTGTCATTATTGAAGGAAAAGGTGCTGCCGCGTCAGGAATGCGAGGGAAAACATGAGTAAGGAAACGGTATTACAAGTGTTACGTTCCTACGTGAAGACCCTGCCTTGCAGCACTGCCTTCGGTTTGGGCCACTTTGTCTCTAGGTGGGAACGGACACTTAGAAGAAAGTGAGTGGGAAATTATAGGTACATTTAAAGGTGACTTTAAATGAAGAGTTACAATATTGTGCTGAGATTTTAAAAATTATTGTTACATAGAATAAATATATATTTGTTATATTTTATATTAATTATATTATTAAATGGGTATATTGAATTATATAGAATTTATTATTCTATATCATTATATATAACTTATGTAGATGTATAAATAAATATAAATATATTTACAATATTTAGATGATACAATATTTAGTTAAGCAGTGCCAGGAACAATGAAGAAGGCAGGGTGTGTTGGCAGGGGGGCCGGTACCGGGTTGGGGGTGCGCAGGCGGAGCAGGCCGCAGGGGGCACGGGGAGCCAAGCCGAGCCACGGGGAACCCGGGTGTCCTCCTGCCCCAGCCGCCCCGAGGAGAAGAGGCAGGTGACCCTCGAGGCCCCCCTGCGTGACAGCTGGGGCGCTTCTGCACCCTCCCCAGTTCTTTAAAGGGAAGATTAGAGGACCGGGTGCTCCCCAGAGACCTGGGGTTGGGCTGCTTCGCCTGCAGGACACGCCGTGTGTGCGTTAAGTGCCGCAGAGCAAATGACACACAGCACCTGATGGCTGGGAACGCCACCTCTGCCGCAGAGCCCAGCCTTGCCCAGGGAACAGCTGCGGAAGTTGGGAAGTGCAAGTTTATTTCTTCTGCGTCATAGATCTCGGTCATCGCTAAGACTTAGACATAACTAGAACAGTTGAAACCTTAATAGCATCCTAACCAAATAACACTAATATAAGAGTCCAATAAACTGCCAGCACAGTGGACTGGGGTTAAAGGCCTGCCATAGATGAGAGTACCCTTTACGTAGGTGGTTCTTGATGTACCTCAAAGCATGCTGAAAGGAGAGACAGCATAGCCTCCAAGACTTGTATGCCTACATAGAGTTCTTATGTTAACTGATGCTTGGAAACATCCTTTTCTCGCTTTCGTAAATTAAAGTCACTAAGGAAAAAACATTCTGATATGTCTGTCTGCTGCAGGAATGCTGTATACATCTTCATTCTGGTTTTAATAGGCTATTTTGATTAGCAGTGATTTTAGTGCTGCTACAGGCACCTGTGTTTGCCCCCATGCGGTTGACATACTGATGCTGATCCAAGGTGGTCCCACTAGACAGTGCACTAATGAGAGCATGATGCGCATCCCTCCAGAATAAATCCTCGCCTTGATTTTTATCTCCAAGTGTTTGCCATAAAAACTCTGCTAACTGAGCCCAGCCACTCTTGCTTTATAAAGCTTCAGCTGAGCTCACTGTCAGTTTTTCTCCAGAACACAATAAATGTTTTGCTATCTGATTTCAAAAATGTACTTCCCATTAAAAGAAGTGACCCTTTATCAGTGATGATGCTTTATCTGCAGATCATCGCTTGGGCACTTTTTTTTTGAGGCTTGGAGTTAATACACAGTCAGCACTGATCAGTGTTCATTCTCATGATATGGAAAAGAGGTATCCAAATGCTTTCCTATCAGTGCTGGGTGTTTTATGAACAAAATGCTGGTGTTCACCTGCTGTTAGCTGACGTCAGCATCCACATTTTATTGTTAAATATCTAAAAATCTTTGTGATATAATTCTTTAATGTAATGAGTTGCTGCAAAGATGTTACATCCTGGGAGGAAAAACTGAATTACAAAATGAACTCTTCATTAAAATGTTGTCTGTGCTTTGAAAGTACTTAAATAGCTTCGTTAATGTAATCATATAAAATAGTTATGAAGATACAGTAAATAGACAAGCCAGAAAGTCCTGTTCATTGATCAGATACTGCTAAGAGCACAGTACGTCCTCAGAAGATTTTTGTTAGCTCCTATAGAAAAGCCACTGACTGAGAGAATGTGCTCTGTTTCACCCTTTTAGATAAAATAGGACGATTCATTCAGTTTCCGCATGCTTTCCTCTGTTAGCAGTGGTACATGGACAGGAGTTGTAAAGAAGCTGTCTCTAAGTGTCATCGTCAGAAGTGCTGAAACCGAGTGCTGCTGCACAATTCTGTCTCTTAAACTCATTTCACTGGCTTCTTTTTAGAGCTCCCATACCAGCGTTACCTGGGGATTGAGTTCAGAATCATGTATCCATTTACCTTTCCTGTTGCTTTTGCAGTACGATCAGATTTCAATTGATTAAATGAAATGGGGAAAGCTCTGGGGAGAGAAAGGGGAAAATGTCAAGACCCTGATAAACATAGGCACAGCATACGATGGAGAATGCTCTGGTTATTCTCTGACTGAAGATCCGAGTATTTGACAATTATGTTCCCGTTATTGTGTGTAAAACTGAACTAAAAGGGACGCCACTTCAAACACAGCTGTTTGAGGGTCCATACTCAGTATGGTATCTCATGTTTGGAAGAGCTGGAAGTCAGACCTTGCCAGCATAGTGAGATTTTGAAAGAGCACACCTTCCTCCTAGCCCAGTATCCGAATCTGCCCCACCTTGCTGGCTCTGTATTTCCACCTCCCACCTCCTGCTCCTGCCCTGGCACCTCCCCGGCAGGCACGTGGGCCCGGCAGGGTGGGTGGCACAAGTGTCAGGGCTGCTGGTGACGGTGACGCAGGAATGAGGCGCTCGTTTCCATGCAGCTCCCCGTGCCTGCACGGTGCGTGATGAAATGAAAGGGAAGCAGCCCAGCCCCGGCCCTGTATTCCCGATGAGTGTCCTCTTTCCAAGGCGTGAGCGGTGCCCAAGTGGTGTGTAATTTACCTTATGGGCAAATTTAATTCGCTGCTATCATATTTCACTTGCGCACTTCTAACTTTAGATAGGAAGAACAACGCTGCCAATATTTGGTACTGACGGCAAATAGCCTGGCAGAGCCTCCCATGCGGTTGTTACTGACGCTTTCCATCATCAGGAAGAATTCCTGTTATTGTTGTCATCATTTGCATTTGCTAATTTAATTAAAATATCCGCTCCAGAACCTGAAATGAGATTAGGTTCCTATTACACATGATGCTGTACAAAATTATGATGAATGACGGTTTCTAGCCTGAACAAGCTTATGGATTAATTATATTGAAGAACGGCCTTTAAAACCTATTTGCTTAAAATAAAAACATATTGACCATTTGCATGTTATTTAGGCTGGCACTTGCTCTCCAGCAGAAGTAATTAACATGGTAACATATGCTTTAAATAAACAGAGAAAAATTTTTGTTCCTAATATTGATAATGTTTCTTAAAAAAAAAGACAAAATATATTTTCAAATCTTTATTTGCCTTTCTGTTTAATTTTCAAAGACTATATTATACTGTCCTGTGTTGAGTACTTTCATCTGCACTAGTGAAATGAGTTGACATTGTTATTTCAAAGCCCAGTCTTTAATTAAGTAATACCTGCAAATACATAATCTTTCTAACATCAGCCAGACCATTTTGAAATAATAAATATTTATAAAGGACATAAAATTAAATGGCAACATTTTGTCCAGATAAAGAAATAAAAATCTACAGAAGGAAATATATTCTAAGCAAGAAAATCTATGGACTTTTTGGTCAGCAGCTAGCTCTGATAGAATCTGATAGATTCTCATTTGAAAAATTAGGTCATTCTTGAGCAATCAATTTTCATTATTTTACAGCTCCTCCTCCTCATTTTACAATTCATAATTACATTCATTTCTTTTTGAAACCATGGAGAAGAAAAAAAACAAGCAAAGAGATCCTGATAGAATTTCATTAGGTAAGCCATACAGACATCAAAGGCAAGGGGACAGAGGAGGAGTTATAAAGATGAAGAAAACATTATTTAATGGTAGTTGTGAAATGAGGTGTTCAGAAAATCAGGAAAGCAATCCTGGCTACTCCTGGAGTTTTAGCAGCTTTTCTTTCTCACTTGTTTGCTCTGCCACCGTCACTGTACACATCAGTACTCTGAGTTCTTCTTTTCCCTCTCTCCATCATTCCAACATGCTGTTTAGCCAAAAAGAACATCTAGCAACAATCACATGATGTTATGGTATAATCCTTATACAACAGCATAGAGAGTGGTAATCCATTGAGGGAATATGGCTCATCCACTTCCATAGAAGAAAAGAAAACTATAAAGACAGATTATGCAATGGGGCTCAAATAAGAAGCGGCCAATTGAATGCATTCTTGGCATATACCCTCTGAAATCTGTTGAGGACTGGTAGAAGATGTCTCAAAAAGCAACTAGAAACTCAGTGGAAGTTATCTTTTTCTATTGCTTTGGCTGCAGTGAGTTCAGAGCAAAAAATGTCAATGAAAGATGTTGTTAAGATGCCGGTAGAACATGACTCAGTTTGAGACCTGAAGATTTCTACATAGCTAAACGTCTAAACTTCTATTATGTGCCTTGCTTAAGCTCGATGACCCACAGATGGATGTCTAGTGCCATTTTAGACACCCAGATGTGTCCCACTGGGCTCTCAACTGCTGCTTCATTGGTGCTGGATGCTAGCCCTGTACAGACGTCTCAGGTTCCCTAAGGCACCTCAGGTGGCACTAGGCAAATGATTCATA